CCATTGGCCGCGGCGCCATGTTGTGGCGGCCCCTCAGCGCTGCGGGCCCGCTCCTCTCTGGGTTTGTGGCCCTTTCCCTCCCCGCCTTGTGCAGTTTAATCCTTTGGAATAAAACACGAACACCCAGCAGAGCCCACAGCCCAAGGCAGGCCCGAGGGAAGCTGCCTGGCACGGGGCACAGGCAGGGCCGGCAGCCAATGCACCCCGGCGCGCCGTCACCTGTTGTGGATGGACGCGCTCAAAAGTCAATTCATAAAATTCCTCACTTGGGCGAGCACAGATGATGCAGAGGGGAGGTATCAGGTGTAAACCACAACAGTAGTGTGCTGCTGGCATTGAGTTTCAGAACCTGGCTGGGTCGTTCAGAAAAAAAATAAATCTGAGAGCTTTGCACAGCTGCTGTGAAACGTGTCAGGTTGTCCTTGGCTGGGCTGTCCTGGCAGGTGGGGATGGGTAACCAGGTAGAATGTACCTGCCAAGGTGCTGTTGTCACCTGAGCATCCCCAGCTGGCCCAATCCGTGCCTTTTTTGGCCATGTTTTTTGTTGCCTGAACGCATGGAGTTGCCATGTTGGAACTACAAGCTGGATCCAGCAGGAGCTCTTTCTCTGGGGCTTCTCCTCGTTACTGTGTTCTGCCAACAACAGAGAGATTTCGCGTTGTGTTAACGCTGTGGGTAAAGAAATTGATCCTGGTAGAGTTTAGTAGCGTTGGGCCATGGACGTAAATCAAATCAGAACCCACAACTTCAGATTTGATACTCCATCAGACCATGTTGTTCTTTTCCCTTCCTATTTTTTAAGTGTAAAAAAAAGTGGTGTGAGAATGTTTGTGATTTCGCTTAGTTTAGCTTGGTTTAGCCCAAAGAGGAAAGCAGCACGTGAGGAGTAAACTCTATTATTTAAGGACTTGTGCAGTCATTTCTGTCACAACAGCCACAAGAAAAAAGTGGTTGTTTACTTGCCATTCCTCCTACCACAGACTTTTAAAAATTCTGAGTTTTCTCAAATCTGGTTGCATTTTCTTCAGCCAGTTCTTTGGAATGAAAAAAAGGCATGACATGTTTTAACCTAAGGCTGTTTTGGGACAGTTGTAACTCACAGAAAATACAGTCTCGCATGAGCACTGCTTAAGCCTAGATTACACACAGTGCTTCCAGTTATACTGTGGGCTCTGCCAGATGAAATATTTAAACTGACAAAAGCCAGAAAATGGCCATTTCAAAAGTTTTCATTTCTGAGCTATTAGCAATTTGCATAGGGTGACAGGAAAAAAAAATGATACCTATCATGAAAACAAAACTAGGTCGTCTCCAGAGACCTTGGTACATTTCATGATTTACTCAGCTGCAGGTTTTCTCTTTTTCTCCACCACTTTCCATAGGCATATGCCACCCAACTTCACATTTCTCAGCCTTCTGCTCTGGTTGTTTTACCTAATGTAATATATGCATGCAAATAATTTTAGAACTTTAGTAATTTTCTTAGTTCCTTCCATCCCTTTCTGTTTCAAGAGCAGTATTTTAGCCTGAGCCTTTTGTTAAGAGATATTGAAGCTCATATTTCGTGTTGTGTGATATTTGTCATTATTATACCTCTTGTGTGGCATATATTTAGCAGACCAAACTGTGGGCTCTGTATGTGTTTCCATAATAACTGAAGAGGTGATCCATTTTCTGTAAAAGTGGTTCGAAGTGTTTTTTTGACAGGGAACTGGATGAAAACTTGTTTTTTGGGGGAATTCCAGCAAAGAGTTTATTGTGACCTCTGATGCTCTGTAGTGTCAAGGACAGATGGGAAGATGGTATGAATCAATATATGTCAACTGCACAGATGGTACAGTCATGCCGTGTCCATATCCTGATCTCCTATCCCTTTGAAACAGAAATTAATAATCCCTTCATTATAGGCAATAGCTGCCAACCAGCTGAAAGATCAGACTGTGACTTGGGGTGAAATTCTCTACAAGGTTTCTGTGCAGCAAGGAGGTTTGACTGGATGTGGATTTTTAAAAAGTGGCCTTGTGTTTGGTATTGACCTATCTTGGGGCACAGAGGGACCTTAAATGATGTAGCAGGGGTGTGGGGCAGGCAGCTGTGAGGAATGTGGGGAGCTGCACTAGCCATGGAGCACTAGTGCATGGAGAAATTTGGGGCATGGAAACATGTGAGTAAAAACATGAGAGAAACCCCCATTCTGTCCCTGGAGGGATCCTCAGGCTTGAGGAGAGTGGCTCTGCCACTGCACTCTGCATTCTGTACAGGTGTAAAAGATGATAGTGACATGTCAGTTTTGGAAATAAAATGTGGGAAACTTAGGACATTTGTCTGATAACCAGATCCTCCCTGTAAGATGTTACAGAGAATTGCTCTTGCAATTTCACTGTGCTTTTCTAAAAGGCCCTGCTTTTGTAGACATGAGGTCACTAGAGAATTGCAGTTAATTACTGCTTATGCCTGTCTGTTTTTAAAGCTTGTAATCCCCACAGCTATGGAGAAAACCAACCAACCAGCTAACAAAAAATAAATAAATAAATCAGAAGTTCACTTTAGGCTCAGACAAGCAGGAGACAACTAAGCCCAGTACCTGAAGTTTCCACTTGTCTTCTGAGTTGAGTACAATCCAGTAATGGTGTTGCTTGTGGATGTACTGGATGGAAGTGTCGGGGATGCAGAACCCAAGTGAATGAGCTGAGGTGGCTCCTTGAATGCTTGGAGAATTCCTGATGTGTAAGTTTTCTATGTTGCACTGTTCAGAGAGAGAGTATTGGTTTGTCCTTGTCTTTGCTTTTAGCAGGAAACAAGGCCTGATATTAAAGGCCATGGTTTGAAGGAGAATATGTAATATAATCAGCTACTGCAACCCACCAAAACGAGTATTGGCACGCCTGCACAGGCTTCACTGGTAATGATGAATTCAGTATTCACCACATGGACTAATTAATGCACTAGAACATCTCCCAGTGCAATTTGCAAGTCACAGATTGCATTAGGTGATACAAATGACTCATTTGTGAACCTGAAGGATGACCTTTGGCAGGACTAACTTCTGACCTCAGAAATATTAAAGAAAGGTTATTTCACCTTGCCATTGTCTCCAAATGCCAAAATAGCCCAATTAAAAACCTTGACATGGAACCATAGGAGCAGATGCGAGTCCTAAAGGGCATTAATTATTTTCAGTGTCAGCTGGTTGTATAACCGAGGCCAAATGAGAGTTTGGAAAGCTATTAAGCCCCTGTCTTACATGGATTGGGTGTAAGGTTTGAATTGAAAATAGTGTGTGGTTTGCATTTGGGTAAGAAAAGAGGGGTAGGTTGTCCCAGTGAGAGGCATGTGCTACCTTCCTATACAATAACTGTTAGCTGATCTTTCAAAATTCAGTACCCATTCAGTAATAAAAATCCATCCCAGCTTCAGTATTTATGAAATAATCATTAGTCACCATGCTGCGAGGTCGAAATCCTGTGCATATGTTCAGCATTGTTTCCTTGTGTGCTGTTCTCACCCTCCCTCCCTGGCCACTGATCTTGTGTGTGCGCTTTTTTCCTAAATGCGGTGACAGATGAAGATATTGCACCAAAACTAAGTTCCCATATGGCTAATTTCTACATTTGTTTTAACAACACACAGATTTAAAACAAATGAAAACACAAAGACTTGAGCAATCTTGGCGTTCTTTCCAGTGCTCTGTAATTTCTTCCTCCAGGTGGGCTTTTATTGACACATACTGAAATGCCTTGATGTGTCTTAAAAAAGAAACTAGTCAGACCATAATTCACTCAAAGATTTTCATTTGTTTGGGGAAAAGCCTTGTATAACACTCACCCTCTTCCAACTTTCCCTTCCTAACCTCAACAGTTTGAAAAGAATTTATTTTCTTAGCTCAGCAAACTGAAAAACAAAACAAATATATATATATATTTATATGTATATTTAAGGAGCATAAATAAATAAGCTTGTTATTTACATCCATATCCAGAAGGGTTTATGCCAGTAAAATCTACACTGGAGTTATTTTTTAATTTACTTGCTGTTTCCTTTTGCCGTGGTTGTTTCAGCATTAGTCACCAAGAAGAGCAAATGATAATGGCTCTTGGATGCCATGATCGTAGGAGTAAGATAGGAATAGATAGGTTCTGTTCAATGGGTTGTTTGCTGATATCACCCAAGGGAAAGACTTCCAAATTTTGGTTATTTTCTCGACAGATACTTTTTCTCACCTGCTGGGGATTGCCCTTTGCCTTCATAGTTCTGAAGCTCTGCCAGGGGAATATAATATTTATGTTTCCCATTCACATGATGGAGAATTAAATAAAGGCATTTTTCTGTCTAGCATCTTGGTGTGTCCTTCAGCTGCCTTTCCAGTGTTGTTTGTTATTTAGTGGATGGTTTAGTCCTACCCCCTTATGGAACTGTGTTACTTGAAACTCTCCTGTGCTGTTTGAATGAATGAATGAATGAAAGAAGAGATTTCACCAGAACTTTTAGCTGTGCTTTAACTGAAGTGTTTCCTCAGTAAGATAGGCCATTATCACTCCTATGGAATCCTAAAGAATTCACTGTCATGATATGTAGAAACAGATAACCATGAATTCAGAAGAGGAGATTTTCCCAATTGTTTTATTTAGGCTATATTTACTTATCCTGGTTCAACCTTTACATGTCCAAATGGATAATGCTTGTTGATCCCTTGCTTTTAGAATAGTAGATTTCTGGGAAATCTGGGGAAAGGGAAGCACAGTCTCATGGTCTATTCACAGGACTTAACTTTGCTGTTTGCATTGCAGAATGAATCTTTCTGTAGTCACATGGTGAGTTAGAGGCATCTTACTGCCACAC